TCATCGTATGAACGCCAGACAGCAGGTATGAATATGAGTGTTGCCTTGGTTGGAGTTTTTTAAGTGACAGGTTTAATATCTACGATATTCTAAGAGATGTCTTCTCTTTCAAAATGAGTGAACGATATGGATTTACCTGGAATCTGAACTTCTCATTTAGGTAAATGAAATGTCTTCCTTTACTTGCTTTTTGTTTAGCGTGTGGGTGGCCGTGACCCTCATGTGGTTACTTATCGAGTTCAAAATAACAAGTGCTGAGTCTTCTGACACCTGTGAAACTGTCACAGTTTTAACAGCATGAGAAAATCATAATTTAATCTACTTACCAAAACTAAAATTGTAAATGTGTTTAGATATTAAAGGAGTTTAGTCACAGAAATATGAAGGATCAGTACGTTTTTATTCATGCATCAGCGTCTGAGTGCCGTATCTCTTCTTGTTTCTGACAGTTTTACCACCTACATGTTGCTCTTTATGAAATGTATCAGATGTTACTTTGATGACCATCATTTATCATGTGAAGAAGAGCCGCCTGGATTTCATTTCTTCTGGGTATCTGGGGAAGTATTGATTTCTCTCATCCATTTGTAGAGAAATATTCACATAAGAACATCAAAAGTGATGACTGTAAAATGGAAATGTGTTTAAATTCTGAAACTAAACTTGAGTATATGTAGTGCATATTCTGCACTTTGCTGTGTATATTTAAAGGTTACTTAAAAGTTTGTATAAAGATTACAGTTTTTGGTTTGTGACTAACACTTTTATGTTGTGTTAAATTCAGTAAAAAAAAAACAAAAAAAAAAAAAACAAGTGTATCAAAAATACTTAAAATTATTATTACACAGTTTATTTGTTTGATTATTTTGCCAGTGACAGTGTACAGCCACTTGGCTTTACCAGAGTTAGCGATGAGCTAATTTACATCTTTAGTCCCTGGGCAGGAGTGAGAGACATCTCAATCTGTTAAGAAATACAAAATACATTTAAAAACATCTACAACACTATTTCTATTCACAGCCAGAATGTCTTATATATATGGTTAGAAAACAATTTTGTTTTATTTATTTGGATGTCATTATCTATTGTAAAGCAATCGGGATATAACATTTGGGATCTTCTAGGTTTTATATGACAATCTTGAATAGTAAAAATCAACAGAACAGTAACGACTACAATGTGTGCTAAATTGGGCCTGGCCTTGTTTGTTTCCATTTAAAACCAAATGAAACAAACAAGGTAATTTCTTGGTAATTATTGCGTGTTTACCATTTAGCCACATAATTACTGAGTCAATACCAGATCACATATGTGCATCGTAAAATAAACTGAGGCCCAGCGTGTTGCTACAGTACAGTCAATGCCCTCTGGGATATAAACAGTGCCGAATTAAATGAAAACTATCTCTTCACTGTTGTGGACCAGCACTAGAGACATGATGAGATTATTTTTCTTTATCTTTTGTGAACTTCTTTAATGTGGTTTCTTCTTTCGCGTGGTTGTTTAAAAATCTGTCTTTCCGTGTCCAACACACATGTGCTTTTGAAAGTATGCAGGCGTTAAGCGTCTCCTTCTGGCTTTGGGAAACGGACTTAAAAAAAAAAAATAGAGCAGGTTGTCAATCTTCAGGCTTTAGCTCAGATTCGTGATGGATCACGGGCCCCTCGGAAGGAGCGGTGTTTTCTGTCAAATCTGACTTGGTTCCCATGCTGAGAGTAGACTTTCTGGAAGACAGGCTGTCAATCTCTCAAATATTCAATCACTGTCAGGCAGGGAAAGAGACAGAGGGGTTGAAGTAGTTTGATCTGAACACTGTGTTGTTGTCAAACCATCAGAAAGAGTCCCCAGAAGACTCAGTGATCGACATCGTCAAGCATGATGCAGCACAGTTCAGTTAGCACTTTCTGTTAATGAGTCACGATCTTCCCACGCACACTACACACAGCATGCACAAAAGCAGTGGACTGTTTTCTACTCTGCTGTGCTCTGATATTTTGCATTTTGTGTATTCTTCTTCTGCTTCTTAACCTTGACACACAATCTATACTCGCTCACAATCCTAAACCTCCTGCACAGTTCAAAGATTTAGCCGTTCTGCTCCAACACATGCACACAGAAAGACCAACTTGAAGGATGCAATCGCCATCAAAATTCATAAATCACTTGGCCAGATAATGAAAGCCATCCCGGCGCAGTGCTGCTTTAATGAAAGTACATATAGGCTCTGTGTCACTCACTGCCATTTGAGGCCAAATTAGAGACAATTTCACGCTAATCCAGACCAGATTTAGCTCTTTTTCAGGGGCGCAGTGGTATGTCCTATCATCCCAGTAAACTCCTGCAGCGATGATAGGTCGTCCTCAACTACTTTATATAACTTCATCGCTGTCTGCTTCAGGGGGGATGCATGTGATGAGCAATTTCAACCCTCGTAAGAGAAACTCATTCCTGTCCATGTTAGCGCAGCATGGACCTGAGTTTTGGTGACTAGCCTTAGGGTGAATCAGAGCATTGCATCAGCTCACTTTCTACATGTGTGTAATCAAGCGTGGATACACAGCCTGCTGATGCAAACAGATACACATGTAGGTGTTGGATTTTGAGATTAGCTAATACACGCAATTGTTTTAAGAGCATTTTAGAGTACGGGCGTCCCCTCTTTGAAGCACCGGCCCTCTTTTGGCTCTTTCAAAATGAGTGTGTGTGTATGTGTTATCTGTGTGTGTTCGTGTCTTATAGATGTGATCTTGATGAGGTAGATTGCCTCAAAATGTCTCGCTGAGTGCAGCCGCTGTCTCTGGCATTTGTCACCGAGCTGTGGGGTGTAACTGAATGTGACGAAGCGCCGAAAAGCAAAGTTCTCATCAATCACTGCGTTCGCCATCCAGTAAGGGTTGTGTTTGGAAGAGCTCAAACAAAAATGAAAATCTTTGACTGAAAATGAAAAGAGTGACTGAGAGTTGTTTTGACAGTTTAATGAATAAACTTTGTTTGTGTGTTTTGTGAAATTTAACGAGCTGTGAAACCTCATTTTCACTCTGATCTGATAAAAAAAAAAAAAAAAGGAGGGACAAGACTCTGAAGGCCAAAAGTGGAGAATTTATTTTAATCTAATCAGAAGCATGATGGTGTTGTTTTGAGACCTTCGTCGGATGCTGATGAGAAATCTTATTTTCACAACAGCACAAAAGGAGGAACTGGCCGTCTGTATGTTGGCAGAGTCGAAGCTCCCCCCTCGATAATGGTCTGGCCTTCTCTGATGGGACATTTCAAAGGCCCTGGCACGGACTCTATTTGTGTTGTTAAACAGACATTACTTGGTTGTGATTAGATATTGCCAATCAGTGAGAGGGAAACAGAGAGACCTCAGAACAAGCCTTGGAAATAAGAGCCTACAGCTGAAATCCTAGGCATGTGTTTGTGATTGTCATTTATTGTCTTTGCCATGGGAAAAAGTCATGCGTCTTTCCAGGGTACTATTGAAATGACAATATGTTATTTATCTTTTTCTTTTTACGTGCTGAGCTATACCCCTGCTGCCCCCCGAAGCCTCGTGCGGGTACATGATGTATTTCAACTAAGACTTTGGATTTCAGAGCATTTCTTGTACGGTCACAGTAATATAAATAAATCCACATAAACACTTAAGCTATAAATAACACTTTTCAATTTAACACAGGTTAATTTTGAAGAGATAATTTAAAAGCTGACAAATCCTCTATTTCTCATGCACACAGTACATGTTTTTATTTGGTGTGTCTGTTTAACATTTATTTTCAGATTTAAAATGGAAGACAGCAAAACCAGAAATGACGCCGAAACTAACTCAGACTGACTTTATGTTTCTGTGCCTACAGTTTTATTTTATTCAGATAGTAGAGGGAATTATTTGAAGTCTCATACTTTGTTGCTAAGATGATTGTTTTAAAGCTCTGGATCTGCAGAGCACACAAATATGTACGTTGCATGCTGAGTCTCTTTGAATCGATTACACATAAAACCACACGAAGCCATATAAAATATCTATTTATAAGAAACACATTGGACAACGACACATGAAAAGGACAATGCTGTAATGCTTCAAAACAAAAATGAACCCAGTTGTTGTTTTTTTTTACACTTCAAACAACACGTAAGATGTAGTTTGAATTTGACCAAACAGTGAATTTCTGGTTGTGATTTTTCTCTGGTTCCTTTTTCAGAGTTATGTAGCATTGTATCTGGCTTGTTTTGATCATAAACTACAGCTCAACCAACTTAAAACCAGCTGAAACTATACAGGGGAAAAAACACGTCTGTTGCATTTTGAATCATTTATATAAAAAAAAACAAAAAAAACATAAATATGTTTTGAATTGTTGAAAATAAAAGTTGTGAAAATAATTCTTTATAATTAATTCAGAGGATAGGACAGTGGATAGACCATAGTGCACTTAAGGAGGGACTGGAAAACAGAACAATAATTTAAATCAACTACTGACATTATTTGTGACAATTTTGATATAAGTCTTTTTAGATGTTACAAATCACTACATATCAAAAATCTACGTGTTGTTTTTCCAGGCAACTCTTTCCATTTAAAAACAATTACAAACCAAAAGACACTTTGAATGTAATGAATTAATAACAAGACACAGAAATCTATTTTCTGTTGCTGTTGATTATAGTTAAGACAGATATTATAAAATAATTATTGCAAATAAAGACATTGAACAAGATTTTTAATTGTTAATAAAAAAATAAGTAAGCATATTGTCAAGCTGTATGTCTGAAATCATGTCATGTTTAAAGAATTCAAAATATTTAGCAAGAAGAGCATGCTTGGCCCGAGGCTGATGTTCTATAGATCCTTAGCTTGGCAAAGTTTGGGAACCCCTTGACTAGGAAACCAGCATACGAGTGTGGAGATTGACATTCAGCAAAGGGCAACAGTTGGAAAACAAACCTGTCCTTTTTTCTTTCTTTAAAATGTGATATTGATTTTTCTTTTCCTCTCACAGTAGATGCTGAGCAGGTGAGTTCGCTGGGATCCGAGGGGGAGGATGAGGTCGGTCTGTGGAACCTGGAGCCCCAGGACTGCCAGGAGAGCCTGGACAAGACGAGCCTGACACCCAGCGAGGGGACGGAGGAGCCTGTCAGCCCTGCTCGTTCCACGCGGCTTCACAGCCTCAGCCCTGGCAGCAGGAATTACTGGGGGCAGGTGGAGCAGGAGGCCGCAGAGGACCCCAGCATATCATCTAACACTGACAGGGAGGGGGACCAGGACCCTTTGAGGATGTACTGTAAGTATTTAGCCAAGAACTGTAACTCATAAGCCCTTTTAAATTGTGAGTTGTAAAAATTATTTCTGAAAGATTAAGGACAAGAAAGATGCAATACTACATGGTGTCGGACTGCTGTGTAGGACACTTCTCTATGTGTAAACAAGCCTACAATGTTTTTTCTGATGCAATACACCTCCAGCCTCACAACGCTCCTCAAGGCCTTCTAGAAACACCTCCATAACCATGCCTTCCCTACAAGCTGTTCTGTGTCTTCACTCTTCTCTTTGAAAAAGCAGCCTTCTGAAAGCATGACAAAAGAACTCATCCCACACAATGTCACAATATTTCCATGCATCAAAGAGGTGACGTTACGGTACTGAAATCAGCACTGCGCGACGTGAGGCTTTCCCTTTTATTTAGAGGAGATCAAAGGCTCACGCGGCTTGCCTACTAACAATCACTTAGCTCCCTCGCCTCGTGTGATTTGGCCTTGCCTGATGAAGGCAAAGCTGAGTTTTTACAACACTCAACCGCACAGGCTCTTCCCTTTCACCACATAAAAAAACAGCTTAAAATATGCCAACATCTGCAAACATTTGAAAAATCTTCCTCAAAGTCGCTGTAAGCTGGCTCTCTCTCTCGCTCTCGCTCTCGCTCGCTCGCTCTCGCTCTCTCTGGCTGCTTGTCACTGCACTCAAGGGCACGAATGAGAAAGAAATCTCAAAGTCTAGTTTAATATCAGGCCAACCAGAACCCTGAATCTATTGTTTTATCTGCCAGTCTTCAAGTCAACATATTAGTTCCATTAGATTCAGTTGCACCGTATCACTTTTTACACAACAAATCCTCACTCTCTTTGCACGCACACACAGTCACATACGAGGCAAATAGATTGACAATGACTCAGAAAGTAAACCCTCTGTTAGAACTTGATTATACACTTAAATAAAGTGTAACAGCAGGAAAGGTACAACCACATGAATGTCCTTCATAACAAGAATAACGAGGAGCTTTGAAAATGTAAAATTCTACAGGTTTTTGGTAAAAATCAGTTCCATGTAAGAATGCAACATATTGAATCTATAAAACAAATGGATATATTTAATGCTCTTTTGCACTGTGTGACAATTATATTTGTATGTGTTGTGTGTATTGTATGAATGATCACAACAGGACTTTGATAATGCCTCCTCGGCGAGTCTCTTTTGTATTGTAAGAGTTTTCTCTTGGTTGATTATTTCAGTAAGACTTCTAATTCATTAAAGGTGGAGAAACAAAGAAAAAAAAAGGACTGCTATTTATTATATTGCATTAATTTCCTGTATGGTGCACCAATAAGGCTGTGTGCATCGATCACAAATAAGAGAAACATGTTGCAAAATGACAAGAAATGCATATGTTTGTCCCTCTTTCCAGGTAATATCTCAGACTCCCAGAATGCCTTGGAAGACCTGGCCCACTATGAATTTCTGGCCCAGTTGAGGAAGGCCTCTACCTCAGCCAGCATCTTGGACCATCTGAACCACAACGGCACTGCAGCTGAGTACCATCCGGGCAGCAGGCACGATGAGCTGCCGCCCGCCATCTGGTCACCTGGAGCTCAGCACAGCTCGCCTGAGAGCACAGGTATATTAACGGGAGAACGGCTGCAATGATACCAAAAGAACATCAATCAATCTAGAATGACTGCCATTGAGTCAGGCAGGCAGTAAATAGGCATGCCTTTTTATGTTTGTATTATTCTGAGAAATTGAGGGAGAAACAAAGGCTTTTCTATTCTCAGCTTATCAAACACTTGTGGTTAGACGAGCAGTCTTCATTTTGGTTTTATAAATAGCAACCGGTTTAGTCATCAGCATTCCTTTAACACTAACTTTAACAATTTAATGGCGTCCTTAATATACAACATTCTGCTGTGATATATTTTGTATGAGATTTTTGATTATAAATTGTATTAAGTTCCTGTTGCATTTTAAATATCCGTAATCTGTATAACATCATTTCATATAAAAGTGAACTCTGTCAAAACAATTGTCGATAACATAAAATGAGATTGAACTCTATTTATCTTAAAGGAAACTCTGATGCACGGTTCTTCTCACATTACAGTAGAAATAAGAGTAAAACAAAAGAGAATCAACTAGAGGTAAAACAAAAAAATATAAAGTGTATAAAAAGTATTTAGTGAAGGGTTTAATGCTAAATGAACAATGCATTTAATAGCATCAAAAGAAGTACAAGAAACAGCATATCTGTTACAACATTTTCAACATACAAATACATTTAAATGTTCAAAATACTTATAAATGGTGCCTTATCTACACCTCTATGAGAGAGCTTGAGTTCTGCTCAAACTACAGGGCCTTATAACATAAGTGAACATGCTTTTTATTTTGTTAAGCAGCATTACGTGAGGCCAAGAGTTGTTCAGCGACTGTATGAATCACGACAGCTTTTTAACTGTAGAATTAGAGGATTTTTTTAAGCAGATTGTAAACGGCAAACTCAACATAGCGCCTCCTTCTAAATGAAACCAGTAGCTAACTCTCAGATGTCTGCTTACAATCTAGAACTTGGTCAATATATTTTTATGGAGTTGCATCTTCAGACATTTAAGCTGATTTTGGCCACACAGCCTCTGCCCGAAGTTTGACACCATGACACATCCTTTTTTTAAGGTTTATTGTTGGGCTTTTTATGCCTTTATTTCAGAGTTAGGACATAAAGTCAGAAATCCTAGAGAGAGGGCTAGAGAGAGAGAGAGAGAGAGAGAGAGAGAGAGAGGGAGAGAGAGAGAGAGAGAGAGAGAGAGAGAGAGAGGGAGTGGGGAATGACATACAGGAAAGGAGCTACAGCCCAGATTCAAACCCAGGCTGTCTTCTTAGAGGACAATAGCCTCTGTACATGGAGCACATGCACCAACCACTAGGCAACCGGCACCTCCACCAAGACACATCCTAAACACAGAGAAGTAAGAAAACAAGAACAGGCAGAGGGCAGGATGTCTGCAGATACAGCCACCACCGCACACTTCCAGTGGGTCAAAAGTGATGATAGAGAGGGATTCTTTTTATACATGTCCATACATAGTTTTGCAGAAGAAAATCCTACTCATTCTGCCTTTAACATAGAAAAGGTATACTTAAGTGGAATGTGAGAGTGAGTGTGGGTGTCACTAGATGAATGTCATGGCCTTGTGATATGCTTGCAATCCATCCAGGGTGTGCCGTGCATCTTGCTAAATGCATCCTGGGATATGCTCCAGCTCCCAGCCACTTTGATCAGAATAAACAATATATAGAAAAGCAAATGTAGAAATTGAAGTATTGAATTAATGTGTGAAATGTTTCATGCTCTGACTTCTCTTCTATCTGGATTTCAGATGCAGGAAGAACACAGCAGGCCTGCCCGTTCTGCCACAGGATGTTTCAGCGCGGAGCGTCTTTAAGGGACCACATCAGGTACTGTCAGGACAGGGAGGGGGCCCACATGGCCTGTCCGCTCTGTGGATACACTGCCACCCATAGGGCACAGATGGAGCGGCACCTGGCACTTCACAACCAATTGCAGGACAAGGTAAGATAAACGGACAGAAAGGAGGAACTTTCACAAATGCAAGAGGCACACTGCAAAAACTCAAATCTTTGCAAGCGTTCTCGTCAAATTTGTTGTCAATATATCTCATCACACTTATTACAAGCCACATTCACCTGACAAATCCAGATAAACATCTTATTTCAAGATATAAAAAGCAGAGATAAGGCCTGAATTGCACCAACTGCAATAAGTAAAAATAGCTTCCAAAGCAGCAAGCAGATTTGACAGGACATTAATGGTTAGCAGCACCGCATTGGTCCTCAATCAAGCTGAACAGCATTTAAGCAGATTTTATATTTTTGAGGTTTTTTTTAAATTAAATTTAATAACTTGTTAAGGTAAAGACATTTCATTTTAAGACACAACACGTACATTTGTCTTGCTGCATTCACACATTATTTTTAAGCCTTATATTTGGATTTTTATCAAAATAAGATGTTTATCTGAACTTGTCAGGTTAACGTGGCTCATATTAAGTGTAACAAGATATATTTGAGTCGAAAATTTAACAAATATTCATGTAAAGATTTAAGTTTTTGCAGAGCAACATTGTCAAAAGCCAAACACTGATCTGTGTTTTTAGATTATTTTGCAATTTCTGTGGATGCAATTTACAATCATACCTTTTCACACAGAGTCCCTCATTGTGTTGTATCATTAAACAAAAATTTATTTTTTTATTTATAGCAGAGTGCAATGTGTTTGGATCAAGCCATGGAGACCAGGAAGTTTAAATGTCTGCAGTGTGGGAAAGCTTTCAAGTACAAACACCACCTCAAGGAGCATCTCCGTATCCATAGTGGTGAGACAAAATAACATCTACAAAGTTGTACTCACCCTGCAATTTTCTATTGTTCCCTCTCTATCACTAACCCTTACTTATTGTGCCAGTTATATGAATCAAATTATACCTTATTGGCAAAACAAGAATTATGAACAAAGTAAAGGGATCACACCGAGTTGAAAGTATTTTCAACCTACCCTCTGGATATTTTGACTAATACATAGATTATGTCTGTCATTCTTTAGGTGAGAAACCGTACGAGTGCTCCAACTGCAAGAAACGATTCTCCCACTCTGGATCCTACAGCTCCCACTTAAGCAGCAAAAAGTGCCTGAATGGAGGAGGGAACACAGGAGGAGCCAGTGGAGCGTTTAACGGACACAGCCAAAACTCCTTCCACCACTCATTTCCTACATCTCCCTCTGCAGGCGGGGGGAGAAACAGTAATGACAAGGGCCCTCTGATAGCATCACAGACTCAAGATAACAACAGAACTTTGGGTCGGATGCAAAAAGAACCTCACCAGCGTTCCCTCCAGGACCCCAACCATAACCACACAGGCTTCCCCGGAACAGCAGACCTGGCTCGGTTTGGGGAGCCATCAGCAGAGCTCTCCCTGAGGGCCAGTATACTAAAAGGGACCACCCTGCTGCCTTATCTGCACACTGGGACCAAGTTTGAGCAGATGCTGCAGGAGATGCTTCACAGGAAGGTTAGGAAAGACGAGGAGTTGGAGAGAGGAATGGAGGAAAGGAGGGCGATTTACAACGGAGGAGGGCCGGACAGTAAGGTGTCTCCGGAGAGGAGAAGAGAGTCAGGTGAAGGAGAGAGTGGTGTGCTTGGTGTGACATGCCGCTGGTGCTCCCAGCTTTTCCCCAATGTGGCAGTGCTCCTGCAGCACGAGCGCTACCTCTGTAAGATGAACCGAGAGGGAGTGGAGGTACCTGAGAGCCTTCACAGCAAAGACCTCTCCTCTCAGACTTTATTTTTTCCCAGATCTGCTCTCCAACCGGAGAACGGCAAACAAAGTGAAACAACAAACGGCCTCTCAGGGAACAAATCACCCTTACAAAAGCCCAGCTGGCACTCCATTCCGCAGCAGCTCCTAGTCGCAATGCACTCCCCCTCTCAGCCTCTCCATGATGCCCGAGCATTCTGGTCCAGCCAGGAAAAAAGAAGCCCTGGCCAACCAATCAATCGCTCTTCTGAGCTGTCATCACCACAAGCCCGGAGGAGAGTTCCCTCTTCAGGATTCGGTTCTCCAGTCTGCCTCGACCTCACCGGCTGTCATCCTGAGCTGTCATCTCCTCAACACCTTCTGTCTGCACAGAACGAACCTCTGGACCTCTCCCTGCCAAAGCAGCTCTCAGACCAGGACGGGGCGAACAAAACTGTTAACAGCAACTCAGCCAGAGGAGAGAAGAGAGAGCACAGCAGCCAGAAGCTTATAAGAATGAGTCCAACTTCACATGTACACCTTCACCATCATCCCGTCTACAGCGGGGCTGGACCTCCTGTGTTTTCAGGTGCCTTATACAACGGATTTCCTATTTTCCAGCAGTCTGGATTAGGAATTTCAGGGCATGATGGCACTACTGCGATTCCATTCAGTCAGCCAGCTAACAGCCCTGGGTTTCTCTCTACAATGGCTTATATGATGGAGGCAGACGCAGAGGCAGCACTGAAAAAGATCCACCAGGAGAGACAAGTTCTTATGGTGAGTTAGCCCCAAAAATCTATGCAAGAGTAATGAATAAAAAACTTGATCTGATTATGTTATAAAACATTGTTTTAACAATATATAGGTTTAGATTTTGGTTAATGTAATGTATATTTTTGTATTTTCTCTACAGGGTGAAGCGTTAAGCCGTGGAGCTCTGGACTACCTCTCTCTTATGGATGACGGTCTGGACGGGGAAGGAGGGCCGGGGAGAAAGAGACTGAAGAAGACAGACGAGGGGCTTTACGCATGTGATATCTGTGAAAAAACCTTTCAGAAGAGCAGCTCTCTGCTCCGACACAAATACGAGCACACAGGTCGGTAGCACAGTCAGTGAAAAACACTTTACTTGAGTGTCATTTTCTTTTGTTTAATGATTGTTGCAATATTTAAAAACAGTTTCAAAACAATTAAAATTGACATTTTGGGAAACACCATGGACTGTGTATAAGATGTCTTTGTAGCCACTGTGTTGTCACTCATCTGTTTGTGAACTAGTTTTTCAATGAGAATGTGGACATGCATGATCGATGCTGTTCTGCAGAGTCCCATAGTCAATTAAAAAGGAAGCCATGCCCTCGAGCATTTTATTCTGAAGGGGATTATGATTTACTACATAAACATCATAATGTAGTGAAAATGACTTAATAGACTTGCAAAGTATTGACGCAGACTTTAAACTCGTTTGGAAAATGAAATCAGAAGACAAAGAGTTTCCCCCTGCCCAACAGTGAAAGAATGTCAATTTATGTCACTTTCGCTTTGGCTTCACTTTCACTGGCTTCAAAAACAGTGAGGCTACGTCCATTTCTATATACAGTCAATGGGAAAAATATGCATTTGATTTTTTGTGCTGAGTGGGAAGAGAAGGTCCATGTAACTCTCGTATCTGTATGTTAATTATGAAACTGCCGCAAGCTTTTTCTAAGCTTAGTTTAGCATTGAAAAAGAAAACAAGTAGACACAGATACATGTATAAAGCAAATTCAAAGAAGGGCACATACCTCATACAGTTTTTTACACATACAACGTATGTCTTTATTATGGTATTTATAACATGCATTAAGCTTTGAGGCTGCTGGTAGGCAGCTGGAGTCAGGTTAGACAATAAGATAAAAATGTTAAAGTGAAAGCAATTCAATTCATGATATTGCACAGGGCCCACATATTCCCCTCCCATCGCCATAAATGTAACGATAATATATCACCACAATGTCCCAAGTGAAAAATAGAAACAGATAGTCTCACCCATTTCTTGCAGGAAAGTACAGCAGTTCCTGCAGATTATAGGGCAGGAAATTAATAAGAATCTGTCTTTTATCACAGATGGTGACCTAATGTATTTGCTATTTGGTATATCTTCTGTAATACCTTTATCACTGCCAGATATAAAAGGAATTCAATGGTTCTGTGCTATCAAATGTTTTCTTTTGAACTGGATTACGGACAGATTACCATCAGAAACACATTGGCATAGGGTCAGACGTGAATATGTCTGATTGGATTCTTTGACATGTAAACTATGCTTTTAGTTAAGTTAAGTTTTTGGCAGAACATGGAAACCCTTTATTTAATACGTCGGTTTGAAAATTTGATACGCCTTAGAGTTCAGTCAAAATGTTTAATTCACGTTTTCCTTTTTATGCTTTTAAAAAGTTATAAATACATGTATACAACACGACAAAAAACTCTACTAATCTCTCAGGATATTACATTATTTATTCAAGTTTTGTATTTTGTATAAAATGTTCTCTTCATTCATTACAGGCAAGCGCCCTCATGAGTGCAAAATCTGCAACAAGGCCTTCAAGCACAAGCACCATCTGATTGAGCACAGCCGGCTGCACTCCGGAGAGAAACCCTACCAATGTGACAAGTGTGGAAAACGCTTCTCTCACTCCGGCTCGTACTCGCAGCACATGAACCACCGCTACGCCTACTGCAGCAAAGACCAGGACCCAGACCAGGACCCGGAGGAGATGCCTCTCACCCCGGGGGCAGGAAACAGTCTGGGAGGACCCCTCTTTGATGAGACCCCTCTGTCTATGGAGGAAACCCAAACCCCGCACTCTTTTCTCAGCGATTCTAGTCCGGATGGAGCTGCGGAGCCACTCAAAGAGGAGGAGGATGAAGGGGAGGAAGAAAAAGAGGCAGGAGTCAGTGACCACCGTCGTGTGGAAGACTCACATTTGAGTGTGTCAGGGGCAGCAGAGGAGCTTGATGGAAGCCCCATCCAAGATTCACCGAGGATAGTGAACGGAGCACAACAAGAGGGAAATATTTACGATGTGAGAAACCATTCTGAGAATACAAAGACAAAGTTGTGGGACAGAGATTCTGCGGAGCAGAATGGAGACTTGGATCAATTTGAACTAAGCCTGGATATAACAGATTTACCCAGAATAAAAACTTAAAGAAGGTGACTTCAACATGCCCATACAATGCATTTTATATATTCTGTATACACAGACATTCTTATCTCATTTAGCATCAGTTTGTACTCGATTTACAACCAGAACAATGCACAAAGCTTCCAAAGAAGATGGCCTAAAGGGGATGAAGCCATACAAACCAAATATTTTGATTATAAAAAGTTCAGTATTTTATCACGAAAAAAAAGACTTGATATACCTACAGTGTTTGTTCGATTTGTTTGTTCTTTTAATTGTTTGTTGTGTTTGCCAAGAGAGCTGAAACATTTGACTTGTTTGAGGTCCTGTGACATTTCCAGATGTGACATTTCACTTATCATATGCTTGCTGCTGCTGACTGTCGCACAAACTCTGAAGCAGAGGCTTTTGTTCTATCACATCCAGGATTCAGTGGATTATAAAAAAGTTATTTTAACATACAAACTGTTCACATGCAGGGAAAAGCATCAGCTAAGAAACTAAGCCTGAGAAGATACAAGTATATAAGGACTTTTAATTAAATGTGCTATCAAAGTAAGAGGTTAAATGTTACAAGTGCAGCCAGATGTGCCTGATGCCCGGTTAATATATTGATTCTTCCTAGTCAATGTAAGAAAAAAAAGCAATTTTCATCATCCTGTGGTAGTTTTTTGTACAAATATTTACATCTTGTTTTTTTTATTTACACATCCAGCGATTATTTCATCCCAAGCAAGTGAGGCTTCCAAATATATGTAGGGGATATGATGCCCTGACTTTTAACATTCAAGCTGTGAAATTACAAGGTACCAGCAGCTTTTATCTTCAGGTTGAAGTAATGCAAAGTGGCTTTAACTCTTCAGAAATCTATGTAGAAGTTAAGGCCAGGCAGTAAAAAAAAAAAGGAGGAACTGGAAGAGGGTTAACTTATTTTTTTTAAAACAAAGAGCGGTTTTTAACTGTATGCCTTGCCAGCAGAATAGTCATTTCTGCATTTCTGTATGTGATGCCAATAGTGGCAAAACATGAAGTCAGTCTTTAGGGCTTTTTTTCCCTTTGAGCGAGCAAATAAATCTTGCACTGTGCCACTATCTGTGCACCAATCCCACACAGCTTCTTTATTTAATCTCAAGCTAAAATATCTCCTATTTCTCGTAATAACTTGCATGTGCTTCGGCTTACTTTCACACCCCTGAAAAAAGAATGTGTCACACATTTGGACTGTCTGTTGAGGTGTGGTATGAAGGTGAAAACTCAGGACACACACATCAGCTTTTAACTTCCTCTTTCTGACTGCGGTGTAGTCAACATGAAAAGTGCCTCAGATACACTCACACACTGTGAGTCATCCCACAATGCCCTGGTACCACCAGATAAGACGATGCTGCATGAGGTGTGACTAAGCTGTTAGCATTTATGCATAGCGGGCACCAAAGAAACTTCATAATGTGTGGTTGTTCAACACCAAAGATATGCATATGTGACATGCCAACTGCCTCTCCACTCTTGCAGAGTTCCTTACTTTTTAATTCTGTCTTTAAAAAAAGGGTAAAAAATGGTTTACTTTCACGTAGTGTCCTGCACAATTTTTTATACCTAGCAGAGTTTGCAAGTAGCTTTTGTATTAACTTTTTATGAGTATTTTTGCATGTTTGTGGATATTTGTAATTAAAATGTACATACTTCGTCACCATAATCTTGTATTTCTTTTCTTTTTTTTTTAGAAAGTTCATCATACATTAAGCATTTTCCAGTCAATTTCTAAAATAATCTCTAAATGATCAGACTTGAATCCAAAAAAAATTTCTGGTAAATCTTCTCATTATCTTGACGCATGAGACATTTTTGAAGCTCAGCTGTTGCCTGGTTCCCAGTTTCTCGTCACTGTGAACAGTTTCCATCACTCATGTTCTGCAGACATGTGCATTGTTACACCAGCTTCTTTGTGGCTGTGTGTGTTTGCAGGATGATTCATCAGAGAGGGCTGCTCTGTGTCTGTGAACCTGCATATGTGGCCGGGGGGAAAATGCAGGGGGGTGAGAGACTCTGTTGTTATTTGATACACTGAACTTTAGGTTTAACACCCGGTTGCGTAAACTAGCGGCTAACCGAAACATTAACAAACTTTTCAGGTTGACGTAGGCTAGATTATCTGGGTGCCATGCATCAGCTACACTAAGTCAACCGTAGCATCAACACTCTGTAATGTGATGACGCCGTATCTCAGCTGTGTTTTGGGCTTAACAGTGAGTAAGATGACATTTAGGTTAATAAAAAATCCCTGAATTAAATTTGCACTGTACAAAAATGACAGTGAGTTCAACATCAGCATAACTTGCATACGTGCAGCAAGAACTATCAGTGAGCAACAGGTTGTCTCACCGGGGGGCTTAGTACATCTAAGTTTCAATTCCCTGAACCAACATGCAGCCAAGCAAAGCGGCCTGAATGTGAACAATGAACACAGCTACCGAATCAATTCAATGATTAACTGATATTAATCAGAGCAACCAGGCTGAGACACATGTAATATACTGCAGATGTGTCTTTAAGAAAAACGAATTCCTGTTTGAGAAGTTATTCTCATAGAACATTTATCCTCTTTTATTCTTTTCTACCCTCTCTTCTCAAAGAAAATTCATTTTAAACAAGGATATCCAGAAAGAAACATTTAACTTTTTTATATACGCCCTGATAGAGCTAAACCTTCATGTAAGAATTGATTGATTTGATTTGATCATTTATTTCCCAGAAGAAAACTTGTTGAGATTAAAAATCTATTTCTTTAAGAGTGTCCTGGCCACGACATGCAGTAGCATAGCTAACAAAGTCTCTGACAATCCATGAGCAGCAATATATACAAACACAATACAAGATACATAAACAAAAACATGGAATAACGTACATAAACCAGGAAATATTAGTCCAAATCAACCACAATCAATATTATATAAGACAGAGCATCTACAGCCAGATTTAGAATAATTACAGTTATTTCAAAATAAACAAATAACTATAAGAACACTTTCTAGAGGGTTCCACTTCAATTTCCACTCTGAAACACGTATCACTTTTAAGACATCCCTGGCTGAGAGACAAGTTACAGATGAAAACATTTCACCACCTTCTAATTCCTGTCTCCCACAAAACTTGAAGAAAAACTTCTACAGACTCAAAAACATCTTGTTCTGGTGTTGTAACAAACAAAATAACTACCTACAGATGCGAAGATGGTTTTGAACTTTTGCAATGTCAGGCTGTTGCATTTCATCAGCGCATTGCGGCATCAAGAATCAGTTATCGTATGCAAATTTTCACGGAAGGTTTGCAGAACCCCTCCTTTTTTCTTTGGTCCATCTTTTGAAGTGTTGACTGCACATACACTGAAAGATAGGAAGTCTTCACAAGAGGCCTACTTGATATTTTGAGTTGTTTTAAATATATGCTACAAGACATTCAGATTGCAATTACTAGATGGTGTATCATTAATAAGTCCAATAAATAAACCAGAGGAGAAAAAGAGGGCAGCATTAAAAAGATGAAGTCATAGAGTTTGACTTTTACTACCAACACACTGCTGATTAGGAGGGCGGGTGTTTGATTGCGTGTGCGACGGACTGATTCTATTTTAGGGAGCAATTAGCACCATCACACCAAGTGGAATAAAAGACATCACAGAGCCCTAAAGTCTACAGCAGTTTAATGCCACTGGGGAAGGAAAATCCGTCAATATCACAAGTTGGAGAGGGAACAAAAAAGCATACTGAATAAATAAATGTTTTCATAGTGTTATGTGTTTTTCTTTAATAACGTAATAAATGGAAACACTTGAATGTATGGCTGTCAAAAGAAACTTAAAAGCTGCACCAATGACTGAGGGATTCGTGTATAAACTGTCATGACTTGGTGCATATATGCCCGTCGAGCAAATAATCAAATGTGGTTGTCTAAATGGGAAGAAAATATTTCAAAGTCAGTCGAATGAAAATCTCGACCTTGAGAAGCGCAGCACAATAATCAAAAGTTCAGACGAGTCTCCATCAATCAGCATCACAGCGCTTTAGCTCCTCCCCCCACACTCACAGGACTTGAAATAATACGAACATAAAAATGAATAAATAGAGCTAATAAAAAGTTTCAAAAATCGATGAGCCCTCTCCCCCTGTGCCTTTTTTCTGCTCTTTTTTGTCCCCTGCCAAACCCACAGTCAATATAAAATTACCAAAGCCGCAGAGTGAGCGAGTGAGAGGGCTTTTTTGGGGGGGAAAAAATCCACATTTTTTAAACATATGCATTTCCAGTTCCTCTTTTGTTCTGTTATTAAAAGCAGCATTTGCACCAATCACAGGGGCATGCCTCCGCCCGCTGCGTCTCTGAGGGCCACATACCTCCACACACTTCTACTATCTGTCACGCAACCTCGACACAAACAACCCGACAGACACATCCAAACAGATTAAATAAGATTGTTCACTTCTGTTTTGTTTTTTATTGCAGGAGAGTTTACAATCAGGTCCAGGCGATATTTCAACAACACGCTGTTCATCTTAAAGCAAATGTATCAGTTTGACTTTGACTAAAATATGTATCGTTTAGGTTAAACAACATGTGCATAGCGCTACAATGACAATATTTCACATATTTACAATATACTTTAACTTAATCTGAGGAGTTTGCACTGATAAAAATAGAAGACAAATCCATTTTTTGTACAATATAAGGGGAAGCTCTGAAGGTTCACACACTAAACAAGATCATTTTGGTACACCGGAAAAAACGTTCTGCACTCTTGGCACCTTCATTCTATCAATAAAATATTTTTCCAATTAAATATATCTATTATATCTTCAACTTAAGGAGCACATTTACATCTCTGCTTTCTTCCTGATTTGAAGTGAATCCACGCTGCAGATGAAGTCTGTCCTCTGTCGGTGTCTGTGTTGTCACAGTGAGATGGTTCTCCTTAGTTTTGTTTCTGTGCTACATTGGGACACATCCTTTCTTACATTCCTTGATATACAAGTGAACAACAATCTGCTTTCTATGTAGATCCTCTGGATGAGATTAATCACTTTATGGCTTTTTTAAAAATCCTGATAAAGTCTGAAACATCAAGGGAAAGGGACAAGGAGGCGTCTGTTCCAGCAGTGATGAACACTGGGGCTCCGAAGTCAAAGACACAAGTATCACAGCTAAAATTGGTTTGTTTAACTATTATTGTTTAATATGGCTTTAAATGGAGGCCAGATGTCAAGAACGTGATTAGCAGCTTTCAGTCCTGGTTCCTTTTTCCAGTCGTTATCTTTTTGATGTGAAATCCTTTTTACACCACATGAGTCAACAGGCAGAGAGGACGAACGGCTGCACTACTTGTGCTTTCTTCTGATCTGGAGGAGCTTTAAAAGACCCCTCAGTCCAGAAAGATCAAGAGGGGCCTCTTATTCCAAAGATGTGGTCAAACTCGCTGAGGATGAGCTCCACCGCCTGGTTCTGGTAAACCATATTCACCGCCATGTTGCCATTGTCCCGCTCAGGGCGCATCAGGGTTGGCCCGAACACGATGCCAATGTTCTGGGTGGTCATTCGGTTTGTGTCTGAATGTTCCAACACTCTGCAGAGACAGAGAGATAAATCGTATTCAACTTTTTTTTCTTTTTTTTTTTTAAATATCACAAAATTCAAAAAGTAGAAACAAGAGCAGCTCTGGATTGATGGTTTCAAAATTGCTCTCTAACCCAGTGGTTCCCAAAGTGGGGATTTGGGACCCCCAGGCGGGTCGCGAGCCACCAAGAGGGGGGTCACGAGATGCCTTCCAAGATATTGTAAAAATAGATATAACAAATTAGTTCAATTTCAAATAAAACCATATCATTAAGTGAGATAAAACTGAAATGAACGTGAAATTTCTAAAAGTGCATGTTTACACATTACAGCTGCAATGTAAGTGTCTGCTGCTGTTTACACATTTGGATGAACACATCTGTGTATCTGTTTTGTTTTACCACTCAGTGCTTAAGTCTATACAAGGAAATTAACTTTAAGCGTTTTAGCCTTTTGTATGATTTTGTGTTGTTCTTTTGTTACCAGTGTTTGGATAGGCCCATTAGTGAGTGCGCGTGGTGGTGCGCTACCTCAAGCACCTCCAGGGACAGTGGGGGTCCCCATTCTCTCTTACATTTATGTTTTGAGTCGCAAGCAGAAGAGTTGGGTAGCCCCTGCTCTAACCCACTTGCGCTTGGATTGAAACATTTATTGAACTGTTCGATGAAACATTTTTGTGACACCCACTTTTGTCCTCAAGCATCCCCATAAGGATGACACTTTACATTTAGGTGATTATCATGAAATTGTGCATTGAAAAGAATTTCACCGTCAGAATGAATAATAATATCCACACTGGAGAGGTCAATGTTGCCTCATGGTTACAAAAGTGAAGCTAATGCAGAAGGGCCTTAAACCTGCAATCTCTCTAATGGCCAGCAGGGGTCAACATTGCTGGATTCATAAAGATGTCTGATTTTATGAAACCACCAATAAGTAATTTGCAGTTTTTAGTTTCAAGTTCTCTACAGAACAGCAAGAAGTTCCTATGATCCCATGATTAAAAATCATATGATTAAAAAAAAGACAATAAAATATTGTATACGTTTCGGTGGGGCTACCAGTGTTCGACAGGTTACTACCTGGGTAAACTAT